AGGGGGACAAAAAAACCTGGGGGACAGAATTACCTAGAGGGGGACAGAATTAACGGGCTGGGGAGGACACTTTTACCTAGGTAATTCTGTCCCCCGGACACTTTTACCGGAGGACAGAACGTCACCGTTTTCACGAAGAGCCACATATGTCGATTTTGAAGAAAAAGCGTTTTCGAGATAATCGCAAAAGAAGTTTCTCATATTTTAAAACTGCAAAAAATACCACTTTGCAACAACTTTGTGAAGCAAGGAAACCATCACACTATTCTATGTGAGCTGAATTTTTACATGAGCCCAATAATAAGACTTAATTCAGCAGTTAATTAGTGAAAATTAATTAGTAAATATATGTGGCTCTTCGTGAAAACGCAAATTCAGGTTTCCGACATATTGGCCCTTTCTGTTCAATGTGTATTTCCATAGGCGCGCGTGAGCACGCGCGCGCAGCTGAAAATGTAACAAAGATATGTGGCTCTTCGTGAAAACGCAAATCTCATTTGACCTACTTTTACGTATTTCCGTGCAATGGGTTTTGTACGCGTTCAAAGGGCCAAAATGTATGTGGCTCTTCGTGAAAACGCAAAATTCATTTATCGAGATTTTGGCCCCTTGCAACATTAATGTAACTTGGAAATTAATGATGTTTTGCTTACAGAAACATGTCAAAATGGTTAAGTACATTGTTTTAAATCAAAATATTGAAAAAAATCAAAATCGAAAAAGTGGTAATTTTTGACATATGTGGCTCTTCGTGAAAACGGTGACGAGAATTACCTTCCACACCGGTACTTGTTTCTCCCGTCCTTTGACCTTGAATATGACCTTAACACAATGATGAAGACCTCAAATTGACACATCCTATGACCTCAAAGATCATGATTAACCATATTGTTCACATAAAAATGTCTTTGGTTTTAATAAGAAAAATTCTGAACAATAAGCTTTCATAACCATATCAATGGGAGTTGGACAAAAATCGTGCATGTCTGAAAATGAAAACAAAGAAGTTTTTTTAATAAAATGGCATTGACCCTTGTCCTTGGGGCAAGAAAATGACCTCTGATAACTTCTAAACCACCAATCGATTCCATGACCCTTAAAAAAATATAACGGTAAGCTTTTTATCCACTGGCTATATTTTAAGAATTTTCATTATATTGGGTCATATACAAAACTTAGGGGGTGGAATCAAATATTGAGCCATAAGTCCAAAATAAAATGCCACATAATTTTTTTTTTAACTGGATTTGGTAATTGGGATGATGTGGGAAATTTGTAAAGCAATAAGTAGGCCTCTATCACCATATCTATGGGAGCTAGGTAAAAAATAATGCCGGTGGAGAAATGAAAATGACGCATTTTTTTCCCTAAATGACCTTGACTTTTGCCTGAATCACGTGACCTTGACCTACAGCTATTTTAGAAACCTCGAAAATCGATTCAGCACCCCAAAAAGCCAAGATTATCAAAATCGGCTCATTAGTCACTAACGTATGACATTTAGCGTTTTAATTATTCGCACGGCAGTCATCTTGGAAATATGCAAATCAGGGCATCATGGGACAATTTTTTTCGCTGGCAACATCAACATTCTTTAATCCGATGTCCTAGGGATTCAAAAAATCATCTTGGAATTTTATTTTAGGGGGGGGGTGCATGGGAACCCATTTCTCCTGTCGTACTATACCTTTTTGTCATTCGTGGACAGAACGGTGGTTGTTTTTAAACTTAAAGATAGATATGATAGATTTGAATGATTATTGTACTAAAAGAGAGCTTATGAATGGGCTTTCATATCCTAGATTTTGAAAGTGCTCCATGCAGAAATTCACTCCCGAAATGTGTTTTTTTTTTACTCACCATGTAGTGATGAATGCATTAGTTAGTGCGTCAGTCTTTCAGGGCAACATAATTTGCATGTATAGCTATATGATATTAGTTCAATATTCTCCACTTTTTGTTACTTTGTCAACTGATTTTGAGGCCATTTCCCCAAGTTTAATGATGTTGTAGTTGGTGTTCCATACAATGTGTGTACAGTTAGTTTAAATATAGTTTTGATGTCCTTTTGGCTTAACGTGAGTTACCCTGACATTTTCCCCTTGCTGGAAAAGACTCGAAAAGCAGACATCGAGGGGAAAAACCGTCATCTTCATTTGCTGACAAAGAGCTGTTATAACCATCATGAGAAAATAGCCTTGTCAGAGTAAATGACAATGAATCAATTAGCTGTAACGGAGTTAAATACAAAAACTCTGCACTGTCTAGTGTCTATGGTCAGTTACCGTGCAATCGCCCCGCAGATGGAAGACTTTATTATTTTCATAATATCCTGTGTTTCAAAACAATTTTGAAAAAGTTTGATGCTGGCATTTTTGCTACATGTAGGTCAGGCTTGTTTTCTTCCTTAGCCAAGAGTATGCCACTATATCAATACATAAAACAACTAATGTTGGAATGATTATATAAATTCTAAATCATCATAATCATGTGACATATAAACCTACTATTTTTGTCAAGCTCGAAAAGGAAAAAGGTACAATTTCCAAAATATAAATTAAAACCCGTCTTGCTGCCAAATGTCAAGAAACGTTTTGATGTGAACTGAATTGGTTAAAACACATTTACAATGCATAGTGAAATCCGCGATGTTACACACGTGAGATTTTTTTTTGACTGTCTTCGGTCTTGCTAAAATATTTCCTTCTCTGGAAACGTCTTTCAGAGAATCCGAGCCCGTGTGATAAGCCCCAATCGACGCAAATCCTGACCCTTGACGAAATTGTATTGTATTAGACTTTGTGGCTATGCGGCGCGGCTTGAGGTGTGGGTTTGTGTAGGTGCCGTGTGCTTTAAACATATCCCACGTGCGCCGACAATCAGCATTGTGTGCTGGACCGCGTGGTGCATGGTTGCATTGATATCGAACAAGGCAATTTTTAGTACATTTGTACTGAAATTTCGTGATCATCATGATCGACGCGACTCCTGACCCTTGACGTATGTATTAGACTTTGTGGCTTCGCGGCGCGGCTTGAGGTGTGGTTTGTGTAGGTGCCGTGTGGCCGACGTGTGCTTTATACATATCCCACACGCCGACAATTAATCAGCATTGTGTGCTGGACCGCACGGTGCATGGTTGCATTGATATCGAACAAGGCAATTTTCTAGTATTGAAATTTCATGATCATCAAGATCATAAGAACAAAATATTAGAACTGCCTTGCTTTTCCATACATTAGGGGTTCTCTAAGAGCATTCAACGATTCTCTTGTCCTATTGGTTTTATTGAGCATCTGAGCCTACACTGCCGCTGATTTAGGGTTCGCTTAGAGCATCCCAGCTCACACTATACACTGATTGTAGGCGTTCTCTTAGAATCTCCCATGGTTCTCTTAAAGCAACCAAACAATTATTTACTGATTGCATATGGGGGTTGTCGAACGTAGAGCATCTCAGGTGATTCTTTTAGAGCATTAAAGCATGCACACACCACTGATTGCATAAGGGTTCTCTTTGAGCATCACAAGGGTTCTCTTAGAGCACCCAGTGACATTCTAAGGGGTTCTCTTAGAGAAGGCAAAGGGGTTCACTTAGAGCATCACAGGAATTCTCTTTTAGAGCACACCCCAGCAACATTCCAAGGATTGCATATGGGTTCAAGAGCAGGCATATATGGGTTCACTTAGAGCACCCCAAGGGTTCTCTCAGAGCACCCCAGTATAAGATTCCAAGGGGCGCATTCTCTAGAGCACGTCCCAGCAACATTCCAAGGATTGCATAATTATAGGGGTTCTTTTAGAGCAGGTGTGGACGGTAATTCTGTCCCCCGTTAAAAGTGTCCGGGGGGACAGAATTACCTAGGTAAAAGTGTCCTCCCGAGCCCGTTAATTCTGTCCCCCTTCAGGTAATTCTCTTCAGGTAATTCAGGTAATGCGCGCTCACGAACACGACTCGTATCATCACATGGGTGATACTTGCAAGGGGACACATTTACCAGGGGGACACTTTCAACGTTGGGCAGGCCGGGGGACATATTTACCGCAGGGAGGGGAACAGATCTACAGGTAAATGTGTCCCCCCGGACAGATTTACCGAGTCACGAGCCGGTAAATTTGTCCGGGGGACACATTTACCAGGGGGGACAGAATTACCTGCCACAGGCATACAGGGGTTCACTTTAATATCCGGTTCGTTAGTTAAAACGTCATACACGTGCGCACACTGATTACTAGCGCCCATTGGCTGCAACTGACGCTCGAGCTGCGTTAACTTCCGGTTCCAATCGTGCAGAAAAAGTGCTGGAGGTGACGTCACACTAACAACCGGATAGAGCGCCCTAGGGTTCTCTTATAGCACCCGCCCCAGCAACATTCCAATAGAAAGATTGCACAGGGTACTGGGTTCTAGTCGATGATAGTACGTAGTTCTGACTGCATAGGATGTAAGCTGTAGTTAGGTGCGCACAATACATGTATGTGCTTGCTTCTTGGATGCTCAAGAGGGTCTGCTGAACACTCTTAGAGACCTGGGATACTTTAAGAGTAGAGATCCTCCTGGGATGATCTGAGAACCCCTATATAACATTAACAGTGCAGTACGTGTGGTGGGTTGCAGTAAAGAGAACCACCTGCGATCCATTACGAGCACACTGTCGCAACTTTCGGGCAGCTTCTATGCAACTCCTCACATGGCCGAGGGTTTTGTGCGTAAACCTTATCAGTCGGCCGATCACGCTCAATTGAAATAGGCAAAACTGCAAGTCACATCATAAAGAATAAATAGCCCATTTTTTCCAAGAGTGTGCCTTTAATGTCTAAAAGAACCCCAGCCAGGGCCGCTCTAAGAGAACTCCATGGGATGCTCCAAGATAACCCGAAATACTGCTCTGAGAACCAAGGCAGTTATTACATTTCATTAAGATGTTGGTTTTGTTTTTATGTTTACAATCCGTGCAACCATTTCTGCGCGTTTTCGTAGTTGTTTCTCTATGAACTCTAGAGGGCGGTTTGAACAATTGAGGGCGGTCCAATTCCTGAATCGTGCAAGTTTCCATCGAAATCATTCATGTCAATGTCTTTGTACATGATTGACAAAGTCTGTCACTGGGGAGTGTCAGTGTCAAATTGATTGTCAGTGTCATTCGTGAAGTAGTTTGGGCGATCGTGAAGTGTAGGGCCCGGTTCCATTGGACCTACCATACCAAACTAGTTGGTGACATCCTCAATAAACAGGTAGGCTATTCATAGTAGAGGACTAGCCCCACTAGTGTGGCCGTCGGTATGCTGCGCTGAACCCAAGGCCACACACCGTGGTCTGCGCACTACTGAGGACGTTTTCATAATTTCAACAGCGAATTTCTTACATATGGTTATATTCTACGATGTCCCAACTTTCACTTCTGCGATGCGTGGGTGTAATGATGTTCAATTTTCCAAGATATTCTTGAATCTTTCTGGAGCCCATATGCACTCGTGAAACGTTTGGTGATGGCAGCCATTTTGAATGTGACAAGAGATGACCTCAAGCTGTGACGTCGCGTTTATGCAAATTGCTTGTCGAGCGAGGGCGCGAGTTGCAAATGCGACGGCTGTTTCCTGTACCATGCATTTATCGTCTGGGGGCCACGTGCACTGATCTCTATTCAGGATCTACGGCACAGGAAACAGCCGTCGCATTTGCAACTCGCGCCCTCGCTTGACAAGCAATTTGCATAAACGCGACGTCACAGCTTGAGGTCATCTCTTGTCACATTCAAAATGGCTGCCATCACCAGACGTTTCACGAGTGCATATGGGCTCCAGAAAGATTCAAGAATATCTTGGAAAATTGAACATCATTACACCCAAGCATCCCAGAAGTGAAAGTTGGGACATCGTAGAATACAACCATATGTAAGAAATTCGCTGTTGAAATTATGAAAACGTCCTCAGTAGTGCGCAGACCACGGTGTGTGGCCTTGGGTTCAGCGCAGCATACCGACGGCCACACTAGTGGGGCTAAGTAGAGGACTAGAGGGCAGGGTTTTCGTGGTTTTGTTTTTGAGGGAAATTTGGCGGTAAAATGACGGTGACAGCGCGGCGACAACACGCGACCCGAAATAAAGATGGCGATCACGGCGCGCTGAATCGCAAGGCACAAACCGCGCAGAAAAATCGTGATTTCTACCCCAAGAATCTGTTCAAAATTGCAAAACGGGTGTCATTTAATAGAATTGAGAAAAGTCTGCTTTTGATTGAAAAGTTGATTTTTGAGCTATAAAAAATATTTTTGACTTCAATTTGATCAAAACAAAACAGGGGCCCAACACTTTACGATCGCCGTAGTTTGTTCGTTATCCATGTGGTATAGGCTGTTCAACATTTTAAGGTACAGATCTAGGCCTACCAAGATAACATTGAAGTATGTTTCTCAAATACAAAAAAACCGAAGCCACACCACTCTTGTTAATTTTTTGAAGTTTTGTAGCAAGTGGGTAGGCCTACTGCACCCATTTCGTTAAATAAGTTTTGTGAACGCTTCATCTTCAATCGACATCTAACAATCTGGTGAACGAAATTCTGGTAGGCCCTAATTGCACATTTTTAATTGACATTTTAGGAATTTCAACCCACCCTAGACTGCTAGGACGTAGCCACATCATGATCAAGATAAACAGTAACATGACTAAAACTTTAAATACATGATGTAGTCCTAACGGTTTCCTACATACATGTAGTTCCAGCATCCAGATAGCAAATATCATTGAACGGCTGCTTTCGGCTCAACTACTCCACGAATTCAAGCGACATTGATGAAAAAGTTTACCTTGAGTGATGGAGAGACCAAAAAATTTAAGCTCTTTTTCTTTTGATTTTACGACGACAAAAATACCAATGTCACTTTTCCTTGTTCCAGATCGGTTCAATCAGTTCCGAATCGATCAAAACTACTTCACGCGATAAAAAAAATCACGAGAGAAAATCAATTTTTCTTTAGCTAGAACCAACCAATTCAAGCATATTTTCTGATAAAGTATTATTTCATTTTCCAAAAATAGGCCTAGGCCTACATGTAGTTCATTCAAGAGAATTCCAGCAAATTTTAAAAAGAGAAAAAATGTAAATGATTTTGAAACTTTTGTCTGCAGCGCAATGGCTCGAACTCATGCACGGACCGAAATTCTTTGACCAAGCACAGAATAGGCCTACGTCACACAAAATCGATTAACGCGCGTGTAGTTGGGTCGAAAGTGCACGCGCTATCCGGAACTAGGCAAAAGCATACGGTCATTCGTTGGTGCATGAATTTTCAAAAATGAGAGACTTTACAACTTATTTTGATTCAACAAACTTTAGATGGAAGAGTTTGTACGACTGTAGTGTGTATGAACAAAATATTCGAAATTACATGCTACAAGTGATATACATGTACCGAGGAGAAAATTTATCGTCCATTTGCAGATCCCGCAATTTTTTACAAATCGTCCAAACATGTCGCAGTGCGAGTCGGAAATCTGGCCAAAATTACATTTTTCTTTTCAAAATGCACATCGTCAAAAAAAAATTATTGGAAACTAATCCAAAACAAGTAGGTTTTTATTTAAAGCTATCCGGAACTAGGAAAAATCCGGAACTAGGAAAACGACTGTAATAGGGGCGTGTTGTGAATATTGAGGCCAAACATTTTGTGACAGGAGAGTTTGGAGGTCGGAAAATAAATTGAGAATTTCTGCCACAGCAACTTCAATTGTCTTTCTGTTAGGTTTGTAGAAAACTTTACAGTTCTGGAAGTTGACTGACATACATGTATGATGTAGGCCTATACATGTACCGTACATGTATACTCTAATCAAGTAACCAAGCCCAAGCCAAGAGCAAGGCAGTGATACATGTGTATACGTATTTAATGGTGAACCGGTCACGTCCCCGACTTGTAATTGTACTGGCACGGCACTGAACATGCGCAGTGATCATGATGAATCTTTGTCTAGTTCAGCGCTTACATAGCCGTTGTGACTTCATGAGATTGGAAAATTAACAAGATCTATATGTACGCCTACATGTCCCCCTGCATGTACAGTCAAACCCTGATAAGAAGAGCATTATTACAAGATACTGCCTATAACAAGCAAAATTTTAGGTCCCAAGTCTTGTTTTTCTTTGTTTTCCTTTGTTTTCCATTACTATTAATACAAGGTAATTCGTAAAGTCCCAAGGACCTTGTTATAAATGTATTCGACTGTACATACATGCACTGACCTACATGTACATCATGTACATTTGTTCATGTAGCCTATGATGTATAATGCAATTTTGAACTTTCTTTTCCCTTAAAAAAAGCCTCCAGATGAGTCCAGAGCAATGAATCAGAAAAAGAAAATGATATAATCTGCTAAGAAAAGTAGGATTTGATTCTGCATATCTGCATCTGTTTGCTTCTGTAAAAATGCCTGGTGTGGCTATCCCGTACCGTTAAAACAATAAACGAATAAACGAAGACAAGTCTTACTTTTTGGGTGCAAAAATTAAAGTTCCAAAAACAACGGCAAGGTTTGGACTCAAACTTGAGTGGCGTGCTTGCAAGGCGGGCACACTACCCACTATATGCCACTGGTTCACTAAACAGAAGATGGAAATTCTATGTCTTGTAATTTACATGTATATGGTGTACATACGCCTACTTGTATACTCGTGCATGAGGGCCCAACACCAACCCCCCAGCTGTGATGAGGAAAATGCGGGAACTGTTCACTATCACAGCTGTTTAAACTTTTTGATCAAGCAAATTGTTTTAAATTAGATAGTAGGGCATAGCAAGACATAGCTTGAGTAACTCCAGCTCTAATGCGATAGGCATTAGAGCTGGAGTTACTCAAGCTAAGCAAGACATGATCTGAGGCCTCTTTCAAGTATTTCTGACCCCACCATACATGTAAGTTATGATTACAGTAGCTGTTAAAACAAGAAATATCTGGGAAATAAACAGCTCTCAATGATTTAAACACATAACACAAACTCTTGGGGTGCGCTCATAAGTCCAACGCCTCATACATGTAGGTCCGACGCCTTATAAGTCCGACAAAATCGCATCCCCTAACCAAATAAAGGCACATAAGTCCGACACCTCATAGGTCTGACGTCTTATAAGTCCAACGCCTCATAGGTCCGACGCCTTATAAGTCCGACAAAATCGCATCCCCTAACCAAATAAAGGCACATAAGTCCGACACCTCATAGGTCTGACGCCTTATAAGTCCAACGCCTCATAGGTCTGACGCCTTATAAGTCCGACAAAATCGCATCCCCTAACCAAATAAAGGCACATAAGTCCGACACCTCATAGGTCCGATGCCTTATAAGTCTGACGCCTCATGGGTCCGACTCCTCATAGCTCCGACCCCTGGTAAGTTTGACAAATTAAACGCCTCATTTTTCCAACGTCGGACTTATGAGGTGTCGGACTTACATGTATGAGCTGTCGGACCTACATGTGTATGTATGAGGCGTCGGACTAATATGATACGGCCCCAAGTTCTTCAGTTCGGCTGTGTCAGTTTGGTGAAAAATAAGTTAAAAAATTATTTGGCCCGGCATTGAATAGCATTGTCTGATTGGCTAATATAATTAAGTGGCATGGGTAGCTAGTGCGTAAGGCGGTCACCTCTCACCACTGTGGCCCTGGTTCAATTCCCGGCTGCGGACCATATGTGAGTAGAGTTGTGCATTGGTTCTCTCCTGTGCCACAAGGTTTTTCTCTGGGCTCTCTGGTTTTCCTCAAGGTGTAAGTCAATAACAGATAAAATGTTTGATATGACATACAGATGTAAAGCCCCTGTGAAAATAATGTGTACTGAGAGAAAACTGGCGCCAGCCAAATAGCCAATACCAAAAACTAATCATTATCTGCAAATTTTGATTTTGTGTTGTTTTGTTATGTTTTGTTATAACAGATATTTTGAAAAGCTTCAACATGGCAGAATCCTCCTCTGTTCCAATGGATCAAGACACAGCCAGGAAGCTTTTTGAGGAAGGAGCCACCCTTCTCTTTCTCAACGTCCCCCCTGGCACAGAATTCGGCATCGACTACAACACATGGAACACCGCGGAGAACTTCAAGGGAGTCAAGATGATCCCACCGGGAGTGCACTTTGTGTACTACAGCGCTGTGAACGTCAGGGAGCGCAGTACCGCCCCTCGCATGGGGTTCTTTCACTGCTTCAAGCGGCAGGAGGTGATGGTACTGAGCTGGAGCAAACGAGACGAGGATGCAGTGGAGCACTTCTTGGAAGACGGTGAGGAGGCAGAGTATCGGGGACGTCTGAGAGAGTTTGATCCATTCCTAGGATCCTACCCTTATGAAAGCTTGAAGAAGTGGGTGTCACTAACTAGCCACATCACGGAAGCCTTGGTCAAAGACTTGATGCCATCGTGTGGGAAGATCTTTTCAGCGCCGCAGTTGATTGCCGATGACAAAACCCGGACATCAGCCCAGAGAGCTGAGTTAGCAGAAAGCCGGCGTCTGGAACACCCTGAGGGTGCAAATACCAGTGCCGAGGATCTGCTACCCAGGATGCACAATGAGCCAGGGACAGAGATCCGGTTCAGTCCCATCCCTGATAGGAACTATCCAGTGGGAGCTTCTGCTGCTGAGATCACCAAGTACTCCATGGACCTGAGTTACACCCTGGAGAGCATGCTGAGGACACATTACCCAGACCACCCCAGCGGTATCCTTGGGGAGATCCAGTTTGCCTTTGTCTGTTTCCTCGTTGGACAGGTCTACGACGGCTTTGAGCAATGGAAGCGACTGGTCCACATCCTATGTGCCTCTGAGGAGTCCCTCATGGCTCACCAGGAGCTCTACGCTAGCTTCATCACTTCCCTCCACTTCCAGCTCAAGGAGGTCCCTGCTGACTTCTTCATCGACATCGTCTCCAAGGACAATTTCCTGACCACCACCCTGCGGGAATTTTTCGCAAACCTGCAAGGGGCGGAGGTTGGCCAGCCTCTCAAGGTCAAAGGTCGGCGATTCAAGGACAGCCTGACTAAGAGATTCAGGTGGGACTTTGATGCTATGCCAGACGATGATGCTCCAGTTGTCGTGCAACTCTGAACTCTTGCCCTCTTGACTTTCAAGTTTTGTGGATTTCCTGTCATTTTCAGACCATCCGTTTGCAGTGCCTGCAATATGGTACGTGTGATTGCACATTTATATACCTTTCAACGGACCATATTTTTGAGTGAACGAAGGCGCCATATCAACGTCACTTTCTGAATACAAACACATTGTTAAAGTAGCAGAGCAGCTTAAATCTTGGCCAACATGTGGGGTGCTGTGGTCCAGTGGTTACGCTGTTGGACTCACGGGCCAACGTACATACATGTACATGGGTTCAATCCCTGACAGGAACTTGGTGCTTGTGTTCTTGGGCAAGACACTTTACTACAATTGCCTCTCTCCACCCTAGAGTGTAAAGGGTACCTATAAAAACTGGTTTCATGGCCCAATGAATAGGGGTAATACTTGTGAAACTCTTTGAAATCGTTGATATAAAGTGCTATACATGTATAACTTAAGCACCACATTACTGTTACTTTATTAGATATTGTGAACATGTCATATTTGAATTGTGGCAATATGTAAATGTACAGCAATAACCATGGATTCATTGCAAACTGGTGTTGTTTAGCGCCCTCATTCAGTCAAGAGTAGGTCCTAGTGTAAGATGGAACCCATGACCCATGGGAGAGATGTGTCATTGTTAAAAGTGGAATAACTTCATCTTTACCAAAACAACCCCTCGTCAAAATAGTGAATTAAGGCCCCCCCCCAAAATAAGTCGGTCTCTGGTCAGCGCGCGCGTCGATTTTAATCATGCGCATCAATTTTTTTTTTTCCAAAATGTTCCGCAGTAGCTCCAACAGCGCCCTCCATTGCCGCACCTCATTTTTTTTTTTTTAACCAAAGAGCACCACGGAATGGGAAATTGCACCAAGGCAAATGATCGAGAGCACCAAGGCAAATTATGGAGGACACCAGTGAACATGAGGACACCAAAAAAGCAAAATAGTACCCCACCTTGTCTGTACAATCCAAGCTTGAAGAAAAAAAACAAGCAAAAAAAAAAACAAACAAACCGCGTCGCCGCGTCAATTCAGGAACTTTGGTCTGACCAGAGACCACATTTTTATTTTTTGGGGGGCTAACCGCATGCATACCACTTTGGGCAACATTTTGGACAGGTCTACATCTTTTTCAGTTTTTAGAAGAAAAGTGACACATCAGTGACACGTTCTGCAAACTGTTTGACAGCAATTATGGACACAATGCATCCTTGACACACCATTTCCTTTGGTTCTTGGGTTCACCGATTTATTAAGCCCCGGCGCCCCGCCCACATGCTTTGAATCTATAACTGTAAGCAGCAGTGTAGCCAAGAGTGGGGGGGGGGGGGGGGGGATCCTTCCCCCAAAATTGTGGCCTCCCCTCCGCCAGTTTCCCCCCCCCCCCCCCCACTGGAAATTTGCTAGTCCCTTTTTCAAGAGGGGCCTTTTTTTTTAAGAATGACCCTTTTTATGTCAAGCGAACGTTTTTAATTGTGCGGCCATGAAGAGCACAATGCATTGTCAAATAATGTCTGCTATAAAGTGCCGTACCTTAGAAAAATCCATGTCTTGTCCAACTCTTCTCCCCTCCCCCCCCCCCCCCCCCCGGCATCCCACTTTTCCTCGAATCAGTTGATTTCGTATAGTTTGCTTCAGACTTACGACATTGAAACTGTATAAAGTATTCTAAAATTTTGACTTTCCACTTTTTTGCTAATTGTATGTCTCTAAAGTTTACAGGTGACTGGTAAAAAAACCTGTTTACCTTTTAGCACGGATGCGATGTAACTCCCCCCCCGAACTTGAACCCCCCCCCCCCCCCCATGATGAGAACGCTGGCTACGCTGCTGCTAGTTTTGTAAATTTATTGGGAAAATATTATTCAGCTGTTCAGTGCAAAGTGAACAACAAAACAAAACATGTCAATTTTTAGCTGTCCATTTTTACTTTCTTTTATGAACTTTTGAGGAAAACAAATTTGTCATTTTCAGCAGTTTAATAACAGAACTGATTTGTTCTAGTTTAATCGGATGGGTCTGGGCAGATCTAAAAATGTATGCATGTAAAATGCATAAAAAAAAACCAAAAAAAAAACTTCAGAGCGGGCATGATTTTATTATGTTTTTTTACATTTTTTAAGTTTTGGATTTGTTTTGCCAGTCTTCATTAAGACTAGTTCAGTTCAAAACATTCAAACAAAAAATGTAGTTTGACTTTCTATAACATCTATTCATTAGTGTTTTGTCAACAAATTTTTTTCCAATAAAAAAATATTTTTAAGGATAAAAACAGCATTGTCTGAAAATTCATTCAGTATTTTTTTCATCCTCCCCAAATTGTTCTATCGCAAACATGAGAGTTAGCCACACCCCTTAGACAACTCTACGGAATTTTGTATGTTAAATTTTGTTTGTCTAAGATTTTGCGCTTTCCGCGTCCATTTGTATACATGCATTTGCACATGTACATTGTAAAGAGTGCCATTTAAAATTTGCATGCAGCGATCAATATGGAAAGTTTTGCAGTAAGTTTTTTACAACTGTCAAGGTCTTTAAAGGGAATATACAACATTTGCAAACATCGAAAAATTTCCAACAGTGGTCGGCCGACCACCATTGGAAAAACCGAACTATTTTTCAACTTCTGCTTCAAATTTACCTTTTTTTCAGTCCAAATTTTGTTTGCTAAATTGGTAACATGTTCATGAACGGGTGCAGGCCAGCTACACTGGTTCCCTTACCTTACAATTTTCCGGCATCTATAAATTAATACATTTCATCCTTAGTGGAGTCAGGGAACCAGACTACTTTTTTCGTTTTTCTTGGTTTTTCCAGCATTTTCGAACACAAAACTTCAAACATGGCAGTGTTACAATATTTGTATCTATTATACTAACCCCTCAAATAGTTCATTTCTGAAAATTACAGCAATAGCCAATGATGTACATGTACATTCCCTTTAACCTGCTAAAAGAATATAAACCAATGGGCAACAGTTGGTGGTTGGCAAACAACTTACCGTTGAGAGAAAAGTGGCTAAAAAGTGGCACCTGACAATAAAGCGCAAAACATTACAATGAAATAACATCACAGTTGTTTGTGTACAAGTAAATGTACGTGCATAGTTTTTGTTTTCGTATATTTTCAACGACAAAAAGCGGTTCGAATATGCGGTTAATATTCAGGACAGCCCATCTGTAGCAGTTTAGCACAACGCAATCAACTAAGGCCGAATAAAAAAAAAAACGTGTTTCTCATCCGGGTTTTAAAAAAAAAAAGAGGAAAAGGGCCTTTTTATTTTTTATTTTTTCAAGATGGCCGCCATTTCAAAATTTCCTGCAACCGTTAGTGTTTCCACTGTTCAGAGACACTTTTAAAATGAAAGACAAGTTGGACAAGAGAACTGAACATATTTACAGTGTCATTTACAGTTGTATCGGTCTACAATGAACATATTTCGCAAGTATATATTTTCCGATGAATTTATGGAATTTTTCTGTATTTTTTACTGCATTTTTCAAAAATAAAAAATAATTAAAAAATCCAGGCCGCCTCCAAAAAGGAAGCGGATGGGGACGAGAAACAAGTTTTTTTTTTACTTAGCCTAACCCATGCGTCGTATAACCTCATACTGCTACAAAACATAATATGCCGCCTTTATTCTCAGTTATCGATGTTTCAATCTCGATCCACCGTTTAGAAAAATTCCCTAAACAACTTAAAATCATCACCGGCACCAGACTACCATGTGACATCTAAAAACAAATAGTGCGAGATACGTTCATAAGTTAATCACTGAAGCATGGAAACCTATTCCTGCAGCATACTCTATGCACAATTGTGGAAGGCCCTTCAACCAGGTTGCAATAAGACCCTCGTGCTAAGAGATAAACAAATGTACCATCAAACACATGCAAATCACTAAAGACCTGGAATGTACTCGTGCAACATGCAAGATCTGCATGGTTCAGTGAGGAAGGCCTTTCAACCAGGATGTAGCAAGACCCTCTTACTAAGAAGACGTGTGACCAAAACCAGCATCCCAGCAGCCTGCTGTCTTCATGGGTTCCTGTGTAGATGGTTCTATCAACTGCGAAATTGCTCCAAACCCCCAGTTCAGCCTTAGCCTACAAGGTCTTGTCTAAATATCAGAGCAGTCTTTAAACTCTCAACAGGTCTCAACAGATCATTCTCTTCACTTCACTAAAACTTTGGTCCAGCTGACCAACTTCAGTAACAAGTCCCAAAAACTTAAACATCCATGAGCTCCAACAGCTCAAAGTATTAACAGTTCCAATGCCCACCAGCTCCTAGACCCACCATACCCATCCCCAAAAAGCTCCAAGTCCAAATATCATCCAGTCCTCAGCTGATAGTCCAGTTCCCTCTCAGTAATGTGCCCAACTATTCCTAGACCCACCAATTCCTAGTCTCAATAAAGTCCAGCCAAATAGTCACCAACTCCAAAATTCTTAAGTCCTCAGCTAGAAGTCCATTTCCCTCTCAGCAGTTTGCCCAACAGCCCAGAGTCCCAAAGCCTACCCCTCTAGCTCAAAATTTCATCCGAGCCTCAGACCCTCAGATCTGAAAAAATTTCAAGGGGTACCCCTTGATTTCTGAAATTCTGGCCAGAGCTGAAAAATTTTCTAAGTCCAAAGACCTAAGGGTTTTAATTACGAAAACCGGATAATTTTTCAAGAAAGTGCCATGGCAGAGCGGAAAAAGAGAGAGCTGGCATGCAGAAGGTACGCGGTTCAACCCTGCTCCATGCTACTATTTTATATATTTATTTTTAAATTCACCATTACAGAGACCAAAATTTATTTTTCCTCCCGGGGCCCCGGCTGGGATTTGATCCGGGGCCCCCGGCCTGGCGGTCAGCGAGCTGGACCACCAGGCCAAATGCTTCTTCGAAAATTTGTTCTCGGAACTTATATTTAAAGGTTAGATTGCGCAATCAAAAAAATATATGCAAATGACCCTTTACCTCATTTGAATAACAATAGCAGAAAAAAATCAAGGAAATGGCTGGGGATGCAAAATATATATGCAAATGCCCTTTACCTCATTTGAATAACAATAGCAGGAAAAAAAAATTTAAAAATGGCCAGGGGCACACAATGCCATTTTAAAACCAAATTTATAATGTAATTTATTAATTTCCAGTATTTTATGCACAATAAATAGTAAGTACGACAAAATTACACTTACATTTTCTTAAATACATGTTAGGAGAAACAAACGCAAAGATATATTTAAAGAAATACAAATATACGGTTAACTAAATGATTTGTTTCAGTCAATAAATTAAAACTGTACCGCTACCAGGTGAAAAAACTTTACACCAAAAAAAATGCTAAATTTTACATTGCGAAAAGGGCAAGTCAGTATGGATTAAGCTAAAAAGTCCTTATAGAGGTATTTGCTAATACATGTAAATTTATAACCATACTTTTGGTACATAAACTGCAATTGTTTTGTTTTAGTTAAATAAATATTTTAAATCTAACACTTGGTGACATAACCCGCATATTATTATATTAGCTGACAGGAAGGTTTAAATTCTTTACAAATTCTATTTGACTTTTTCAATACATTTTCAGTACATTTTCTCCTTAATTTCAATTATGTAGTTTGTTTTTAATACAAGAGGAACAAATGTCAAAATCATTACATTACATGTAACCATTACAAAAACCACATGTACATGCAACTTAATCT